CAGGGGGACGGGGGGGGAGCGGGGCAAAGCAAAGAAAAACAGAGCCAAGCCGCGGAGCGCGTGGGCAGCGGACAGCTCTGTCCGCTGCCCCCGTGTTCCGCCGCTTTGCTTCCTCTCCCTGGTCTGCTGGAGACCAGGGAGAGGATGGGCCCCGTTCGTAACTGCGGATCCGACATAAGTCGGATCCGCGTAACTCGGGGACTGCCTGTACTACCATCCCCATGGTATCAAAGCAGTCACATTGTGCCTTTTTACATATTTCCATTATACACCATAACATATCACCTGGCTTTGCTATTTCAGACCGGGCTCTATAAATAGGCTGCACTTGGATCCACCTACCAAAATGCAACAAAGTTAATCATTCTGTAAGGTACCTGTTACTAGTCATTTAACCAGATGCCAATCAAATACCTGCCCTCTCCCTTTCCTCCATCAATTTCTGTTAAGATATATTTTTATATCTCACCAAATGACAGCCTCCAAAACCCATGACTAATATGCTACAGTTTTCTACAGAGTACAAATATTGTATTTTCTCCCTCAATTTGGTCAGAGACCCTGTGGATAAATCCCTGTAATATTATCACTCTGATATAACTTTGTATTAAGATCTTGTCCTTTTAGATATATCTTTGTTAAGTGTTCTTATAGAATCTCTAACATTTCTCCTATAACTTTGTATTAGGAGAAACTTTCCTTTTTTTTTAAATTTATAGATAGATTAGATCTTCTAAGAAAAAATGTCTTTTGAGCTCTCCCCTTTCCTTGATTGTCCTCTTGAAATGAATGAGGTGTGAATGGAGAATGAAAGGTGAGCACCTCCAGCAGCAGTTGCAAGGGTAGAGAAGGTCTGGGAGCCAGACCCAAGACAATACCTGTAAAGTGAGCTCATTAAGATGACTGGACACACAGAGGCCTTGGGAGTCAAGCAGCAAGTGCCTGCCCTTGGAAGAACTCTTTGAAGCAGCATTAAGAAAGGCAAGGTGATGACTAATTGGCTGCATGAGGGGGATAAATATGAGGCATCTTGCAGAGGGACCCTGGGTTTTCATCTTGTCAACATGGGAGCATGGATTTGGATCAGCAGAAGCCCGACTCCACCCCTCCCCCATCTAACTCACCTGGCCAGTGCACTTAGGGGGAGCAACTTTTGGTAACAAGAAGATGGAGTGTGCTTGTGTGTGTGTGAGTGTGCATGAGTGTAATGTATCATATGCATATTGTAAGTATTGACTGATCTATGTATGTTCAATAAATGTGGCGTGTTGCCTTATCCCCCTGAAAAAGATCCCGGGTGCTTCTTTTAAGCACAACAACCTGGACATCAGCATATAAGCACATATCCACTCAGAGTCATATATTGTCAAACACTGGCTACTATACTCTGTTCTGCAAACTCATTTTCAAAACCAAATACTATATATTGAACAAAGGTGGAAAAATTTGCAAAAGTACTTGAATTAGCATAGAAGCTTATCTACAACACATATGTAATGCATACTGAAATGGACAAGTGAGAAGGTTGTTTGTAGCCTCTTAATTCTGCATTTGTAGTCTGTCAAAATTGTAATTAATGTTATTTGGGAGAATGCCAACTTCACACATTTAAAAAAAAAAAAAAAAAAAGCCAGAAATAAATCCTGAAACACAAGTAGATAGATACACATTGAATATACATTGACATTTTTTGTAACAACTGAACATATTTTACAGAATAAACAAAAGCACAAAAAAATATTTTATTATTCTTCAGACTGGGATCAACTAAAGGCCAATCTAATTCTAAATTTGGAACATCATGGATTTTGTATGTCTTTGAAGCCATTCTCTGGTTATTACGCAAGTCACTTTAGCAGAGACCAGGATTCAAATCTATTTACGAATTCAAAGTGTCCACTGCTTTGAATAAGATTTCAACATAGTGCAATTCTGAAAAGACCACTTAAGTCGAAGACTTAACTTTCATGCAGCCAAAGATGCAAAATTAAATACAAATCACCGTACCTTAAACAAAGACCTGTAATGTGTAAACAGGTCAAAGCAATATGATTAAAGCAAAAAGAAAAAAAAATCTGTATTTTCAAAAGAAAATATATCAGTTTTATAAAAGGCATCCAAAAAAAAATTCCATGCTTTAGTTCCCATTATGAAGTATCGCCATTCAGACCAAGCATCCTAACCAAATTATATTTTTCAGCTATTTAAAATACAGGCACTATAATCTAATAGAAAAATAGCAAGCATTTTACCTGAATACTTTTTTTTTTTTTTTAAAGCTCTTGAACCCTCAGCAATAGAAAACAAAAGCAGCTCTAATGTGAACTTCTCTAGAAAAATCAATAATTACATTAATAGTTCAGCAGCAATTATGAACAAAACACAGTTTAAGGAGAATGGCAATGGTCTTTTCATGCTTAAATAGTCTGCAGTTTCATTCTTTCTCCTTGTTTTTAAAAGTTGAAATACTGACTTCTTTAAATTAAACTTAATCTGCTGTGCTCTTAAGAGAAGGCAAAAATGGCTTGTGGCTCAACATGTTGAAGAGTTTACTGTAATAAAATATAACTAGTTATCTTACATGCAAAATACAATCCAAAAGGTTGAAGGCAAACAGTTTGCGTATATCTGTTGTTCATAAATGATTCTGTTGCTAATTGACAGAAATAGTATGATCCAATGGTAGTGAGCAATGAGAGTTGGATAAACTATATCTGAAAGCGACAAATCTCTCTATTAAAAAAAAAAAAACTTTCCGAGGGATGACAGTGACACCACCACATCACTCTGCATCCTGTAGTCCCACCTCCCTCCGTCACCTTGCTCCTCCTTCCCTGCCACTAACCCCATTAGCTTAGAACAGTGGTCTCCAACCTGTTTACACCCAAGATCACTTTTTAAATGACAGAATAAGCCAAGATCTACCACCCGGCCCCTTCCTTGAAGCCCCGCCCCTTCCTCTGTATTCTCCTCCTCTCCATCACTTGCTATCACCAATCCTTATACTGCTTTTTTTCCCCAATTCTTATGTAGGAAGAGGTTTTTCCAACATTTGGCCTGTCTAATGTCAGAAAAAACCCTTCTTTTGGAAGCCCCCTTATTCCTCGTGGAAAGAGGAATATAAGGGTTACCAAAAGAGCACGTTTGCTCTTCCAGTAAAAAAAAGCGGAAGAACAAACGCATCCCTGGATGCAGGAGAGTTTTTCCTGGGATATCTCCAGAATCCTGAAAAACTCCTGCAGTCTAGCCTTACCCTCACTGGGTTGAGGCAGGATGTATA